TTTCATGCGTCTCGATCAAGTACCGAGGTACTGAGAAAAAGGAACGTGGAAGGCGCAGGGTGGAATGAGCCTGAGATTTTCCATTACAAGCTTGTGCAAGCCTCCCACCAGTCTCTCCGAAATCACACGGAGATAAATCCATCCTTTCTTCACTGTCGAGCTTAAGAGAGGAATCGCATTAGCGTCACCCTAAAACAGCAGCGCAATTTCCGGAGTCGAGTTTCATTCAGGCTTCTGGAGACAGCACCTGCCCAGCTGTGGGACGTCGCTAGGGCTCACTAGAGAAGAAATCTCTTCGATACACCGAACCCCGCACACACGGTTGTCGTGCCTTCTGCCAAGAAATAATTCGAAGAAGACTTTGAAAAATATTCGAGAAGGTCTTTGGTCAGCATTCTTGCGAAAATTCAAGGAAGCGATAGTGGTGGGGAGTACAGTGTGACCAGATTTTCAAAAGATATATAAATTTCTCAAACGCGGGTCCAACCTGTTCACCAATTCGGGCATGCTCTCTGCAACTGTTCGTTCATACTCATCCTGTTTTGAGTACGGTGGCCTTATGATTGACTGGGGAGTTTGCGACTGATACATCAATGGTGCATCGAACTCCATTGACCTGCAAGAAAAAAGCAATTCAGAGAGTTGCTCAGTTTTGTAATAGGGTACTATTACAAAACTATTACTATTACTATTATTAGGTATAAACGCCTCACCTTCCTATATTCGTGACATTCGTCCGAGAGCTACGCTGAAGACTGTAGCGATCAGGAGCTTCTTTGGCTACCAGCGAAAGAAAAGTAGGTAGAGACCATGGAAACGACGAAAGCAAGGAAGTGAGCAAATGCAGCTCCCATTTCCAGGAAAAATGCAATGCCGACCCTTTGCTGAAAGTGGAATGACGTACAGCTAGAAGAGATGCTATGCTTCATTAAAGCCCAAAATGGTAGGCTTCTAGAGCATTGACAGTCAGAAGAACAAAAATGAAGGTGCTGTAATAGTAGAAGGGACGAGAGCTATTTTCAAAATTAAAAGCCGAACCTCGTACGTGCCCACGATGCCTTTGATAAAGCGGTTGTCGGCACGATGTGAGTAAAAGAAGAAGATGCCAACAGCAACTGACGAAAGAAACGCTGAAAGTGGGTATGTTCAGAGAAGCTGAAAGCAAAACCGACGTGCTATTCGCTAAACTTTCATTTTTTCACTCGACCCCAGCCAAACTTTCCAACTTGCAGTTGACTCAAGGGGCACAAGTCGTTTGCCTCCTTCCCTACTTCTACCTTTTTCTTCCTCTTCCCAGTGGAAAGTGGCCTAGTGCTTAAGAGCAGCAGGGTCGGGGTGGCAGGCGCTCTGCGCGCTAAAAAATCCAGCTCGAAGGACATCGTTTTAATCGCTTAAGGAGATGGTTATCACTTATGACGCTGTGCTTTTCTTTACTGGTGCTTTCTTCATTGGTGGTCCACCCCTTCATACTGCAAGTTCTAGCGACCCACATGAAAGGGTGAACCTGTTGAAATGACTGTGCCAATGCAATCAGCGCAGCGTGTGCCTTTGCAGAAGATAGCTTAGATGATTTCGAGTGAGGAAAAAAGTCAAAAAGGCTCGTATAAAATGAAAGGTTCTATGCTCGAGAACCCCTCCACGGAGAATTACAGTTGTAATTTGGTCCATAAAAAATGATTGCACATTGCATTCCAATTGTAATCGGTCGAATTAAGAGCGAAATCATCGTTAACCGGACCGGAATCACTTACTAGTAAGAAGACAGGCAGCCGTGAAAACAAGGCTGAGAGAACCGTAGCAGCACGAGCACATTCCAAGACAGATCGCCAGAAAAGATGTGATGAGGGCGAAGCCGAGCAGGATCAACGTCGCCGTGTGCCATCCTGAAATCAACCAACAATGAGGGCTTACTGCTCACGTCATGAGCCACACAATTCACTTACACATGTCAGTCGCCGGTCCTGGAATACCCATAAACTTATGGGAATTACAGGGCAAGTTTCTGGTTACTGAGGTCAGAAGCAGGAATACCAGGATACCGAGTTTCTCAAAAAAGTTTCAACATCTTCTCGGAACTCAGGAGTCCGAAAAAACTATCATTTTCTAGGGCTTCCTCACAGTGTTCCATGGGAGCAGTTTTAATTAGGAAATAATGGCCTTCTCGGGCAAAACACTGGACTTATTATCACAAGAATGCTGAGTTATGGGCAAAAGTCGTGCCCCAGGCGGGAGTCGAACCCGCACCTCACGCTTTCCGGGCGAGTGCGCTATCCGTTACGCCACCAGGGCCGCTTTTACCCTCTCAGCTTATGCCTTTACAGCACTCACACGTTTAACTTGGTGAGCCGGTCAGCCGTAATCGTTAGATATCCGAAAAGCGTGAGGTGCGGGTTCGACTCCCGCCTGGGGCACGACTTTTGCCCACAACTCAGCATTCTTGTGATAACATTCGGAACGCGTACTGCGGCGTTAAACAGCAGTTATCATAACAAAACAGCTTCAAAAACTGGACTTATTCATCTACTCGTTCATGTAACAAAAGGTAACAATCGCTCGTCAGTAGTTCCCCACCCATTCACGTTGTTGACGGCCTCCGTGGGCGATTTAATCGCCATTGTCCAATGAGCATCGTTTTTCTGGCCGGCGCCCCAAATCTTAGCGCTTCGTTCATGAGTCACGCAGAAACACGTCCTTCTAGTGAG